AAAGGGTGGGGGGGGGGGGGGGGGGGGGGTACCTGATTCTTGCTGAATTTTCATGGGTACGGGAATGTTATGTACGCTATATAACTAAAATTTTGGTCGTCTCTCTACTAAAGGTATCTCAACAACCATTACAAGGTGATCCCTCGTGATCACAGTATCACAGACTGGAGATGTATAATACTGTACTAGGCTGACATCGACATCTAGGGTTAGATCTAATATTTCGGGTAAAATCTGTCTGATATTCAGCAGCAACTGTTTAAGTTCACTCGGCATTAGCATACTGGTTGTGAATTTTCCGGTGACGGCAAAATTTAATTTCTTCCATAATTTGTCCACTGCTTGTTGAACTCTGTCTACTAATTCTTTACTTTTATCGAGGGCGGAATGTAAATAATATACGTCCTGGTTAATTTATCAAGTGTTATGATTTCAGTTTTTAATATGTTAATCGTTTTCGTTGCTGTACTGTAACATGTAGGTCATCAAATCTCCTAAGCGATTAAGCTTCTCTCTATTCTGAAGAACTTCTCGTTTTGCGATTTTTAATATTGTGAGCGTTTTGTCTACCACGTGTGTTATCCTAACAATCCAAAGACCACTGAAACGTTAGTCTTCCCTCTTTCATTTTTCTGCGTGTATGTATGGCACTCACTTTTGCCTCCCTCTTTTTATGTGGTGGGTTGCAGTCATCCTGACTGGATGACGTTTGTCTTCGGTTTCTCTTTCCTCTTCTGGGCTCGGCCATGTCCTGATCTGTTTCATAATCGCCTGCGTTTCCACAACTATCTGTGTCGCTTCTCATCTCCTCTGAGCTTTCTGACGCTTCAGTAGACTCTGCCTCAAGTAATAATGCTCTACGTTCTCTGTGTGTTTGTAAAACAATTTCCTCTTTTAGATCTGTACTTCTCTTTTTAATTTCAGAAATTCCTGTTTCCTGTTTTTCCCTTTTGTTAGGCGCAGTTTCTACTGTTTCTTCTTCTTCTTTTCTACGATTACATGTACCGTTAACTAGTACTTCTGACGGTTTTAATTCTTTCACACTAGACGGAGTATTTGTCCTGGTTCTAACAGCGACTAAAAATCTACAACCTGCTTTCTTAGTGATCCCAAACTCATCATCTGCGTCGTAATTTTCAGAGAATAAATCTATCTTTATATTACTAACTACAAACGGTAATGTATTTATTCCTTCACCTTCATCTTCTGTAGGCATCACCTGTGTATAAGACAAATCCTGCTGATTTCTTTCTTTCATTGTCCCTACCCTCTCTACTTTCCTATGTGTGCTATTGCTATCTAGCCTTTTTACATCTACCGCTTTTACTTCCCATAACCATTCCATTGCCAAACAAGCCTCTTTATCTTCTTCTTGTTCCGACTTAACTTTAGTCGTTATTAACTTCTTACGTGTTTCTATGTTCCCTTCTTCTTTAAAATATTGACCGTGTGTCCCGTTTACAGTTACCGCATTTACCTCGTTAATGTAGCTTTTATTAAACCGTTTCATGGGATTCCTCTCTTTTAACCCTCTTACTTCTAATCTGTTTGTCTCATCATCAGCAGCGCACGTGCTTTTATTACCTGTCTGCCATAATCCGTTATAATTACTGACCTCGCGATTATTTCCTAAGTTTTGCAATCTTACATTCTTATTGTAGCCTAATTTTCTTAACCTGTCTCTTTTGAATTTGTTGGCTTGATTAGTGCTCATCATGCGGAATCTGGTATCTGAATTACATGACCTAACTCGACTTCGGTTATTATCATGGATATTTCCTACTCTATTTATGTTCTGATATCTGTTACCAAAATTACGCCACTGCTCCTGTGCTCTGATATTTCTGTTATTTCCTAACTTTCTTAACCTGTCTGCTGTATCGAAATTTATAAAATGCCCTTGTTCATTCCGTATTTGTGACCTCAGTTGACCCTGATTTTTCTCGTACGCTTTTGTGTTGTCTGGTCTGCGGTACTGATTGTCTCTAGGGTATTGCAATCTCTCGTTAGCATAATTTCGCCTGTCTGGGAAACCGGACAGTCGATTAACCTCGCCGTTACTTCTAATGACTGTAGCTATGTTATAATTTCTTTCTCTCTGTCTTTGTCTACGACTATCTACAGTTGACCAATGTTGAGCAGTTCTTTGTTCTAAAAAAAATGGTATACGGAGTTTTATACCTAACTGTGCTACTTCATTAAAAACTCTGCTAAACTGTGCTCTCACTGTTCCTTGATATGCCATTATTAAAACCTGGAAAATTAACTAATGTAAACTAAAATAGAATTTAAAACAGAAAATGTCGTATTACCTTGTTAAGTGCGGTCTGAAAAAAAAAAATTCTCGTTTCACAACACACTGTAATTAAAAATCGGCACTGTCCTGGAATTATTTTCTACGTTCAGGATGAAAGGTAGGGGAAAGATAAAAAGGTTTTTCCTACACCACTGTAAATTGAAAATCACAATATATTTAAACTAATTAATGTTAATGTTCAAGGTTCTTTAAAATCGCGCTATTTTTGCAGTCCATATTTGTAAAATCGGACAGCTCACAGTTCTTGAATTTCCTATAGTCTTCTGAGTGTGTAAAGTTAGGAAAGTTTATATTATGGCTCCCGACTAGAACGGGCGCGTCCCCCTGATTCTAGTGTAGACGGTTTGCTCCAGGCTAGAACGGGCGTGTCCCCCTGATTCTAGTGTAGACGGTTTGCTCCAGGCTAGAACGGGCGTGTCCCCCTGATTCTAGTGTAGACGGTTGGCTCCAAAAGGTGGTGCAGGCTGTTGGTCTGGTTTACGTCTCTCTATTCTGATGACGGTTTTTCTCGACTTTTTTTACTCAGCAGGCACAATCATAAACTTGCTTTTAGTTCACCTTTTTATAGCAGTTGCTTATTTGTTATGTTGTAACAGCAGTCTTGTTTTTTAAAGATGTCGAGTACACAAGACTGATCGTTGGTCACGGCTCCAAATATCCTCACACTTGTCTAAACGGGACGTCTGTACATCCCCCAAGAAATAGATGTGCCTAAGTCGGTCAAGTGGAATGAATATGGTTTGTATCTCTCTTCAATCGTACTCAAGAACAAGGCCAGTGATGTAATCAATTACATAAGAGCTGGTTTATTCATAATATTCTCGTCACACACATTTCATAAATTCAATAAGCAATAGTATATGAACACTCCTTATTACTGGCTATTCGTATGCCTCTACGAGTTCCTTAACCACTGTTCTGGCTAAACTCCAAGTTTAACATATACCTTCTAAACGAAGTAAAGCACTAGTTTTCTCCTAACCGGTTTCTCTAGCGGTCTAGCCCTAACTGTCTTCTCATGGCGGTTCCGGGGCTAACTAACTGTTCTAGCTAAACTCCAAGTTTAACATATACCTTCTAACGAAGTACAGCACTAGTTTTCTCCTAACCGGGTTCTCTAGCGGTCTAGCCCTAACTGTCCTCTCCAGCGGTTCCGGGACTAACTCACTGTTCTAGTTAAACTCTAAGTTTAACATATCCTTCTAAACGAAGTAAAGCACTAGTTTTCTCCTAACCGGTTTCTCTAGCGGTCTAGCCCTAACTGTCTTCTCATGGCGGTTCCGGGGCTAACTGTCCTCTCCAGCGGTTCCGGGACTAACTGTCCTCTCCAGCGGTTCCGGGATTAACTGACTTCTCAAGCCCCTGGCTCTGACTTTATTCCACCGCTTTCCCGCTCCTCCTGGCGTACCATCTTAATCACTTCCCTGTCACCTGTCCTTGGTGGTCACGTTTGGATGAACGTATCTCGTCAGTTGGTCACAGCTCACGGGTACTCGTCGAATGTTTCATCCCTCACTGTCAGATGTCATGGCGGTGTGTTCTGCATAGCTGGCTAGGCCATGGCTTTCTAATCACCCATTCTGTCATTTCACACAGTGATGGATTAGTACGCCGTGTGGTGGTCTGAAATGTATGCTTGTTCATTTAACCCCTTTCTGCCTATACTTCATTACATATCTATCTATCTATCTATCTGCCTGTCTGTCTGTCTGTCTGTCTGTCTGTCTGTCTGTCTGTCTGTCTGTCTGTCTGTCTGTCTGTCTGTCTGTCTGTCTGTCTGTCTGTCTGTCTGTCTGTCTGTCTGTCTGTCTGTCTGTCTGTCTGCCTGCCTGCCTGCCTGCCTGCCTGCCTGCCTGCCTGCCTGCCTGCCTGCCTGCCTGCCTGCCTGCCTGCCTGCCTGCCTGTCTGTCTGTCTGTCTGTCTGTCTGTCTGTCTGTCTGTCTGTCTGTCTGTCTGTCTGTCTGTCTGTCTGTCTGTCTGTCTGTCTGTCTGTCTGTCTGTCTGTCTGTCTGTCTGTCTATGTCTGTATATCTATCTACCTATATCTCTCTATATCTCTATCTATCTATCTTTCTATCTACATATCTCTCCCTCACTTTCACACTGTGTGAAAGATAGGTGTTTGGAAGGGCCGAATGTAAGACGGACCTGCGTGCCCTCTTTAAGACCCTCTGAAAATAAAGTTCGTTCGTTCGTTTGTTCTCTCTCTCTCTCTCTCTCTCTCTCTCTCTCTCTCTCTCTCTCTCTCTCTCTCTCTCTCACACTCACTATTATATATATATATATCCTTTTTTCTGGGTTTTTTAAAAATGTGAACTATATTTCAAGAATGACATACTAATGAATAGGGCACTAGAACAGAAAACAGGCACATGCGAAATGCACTGTCCCCGCAAGGTCACTAACCACACTGGACGGGACAGAGTTACAAATACCCCCCTCCCCCCCATTTAAGAGAAGGGTGGAATAAGATCATGCCTGGACTATACTGACAGACAGAGAATAAAACTGTTCAACCATTTATTAAGAATGCAGGCAGACCAGACTGCACAAGACACTTTTGACAGTAGAACATATGAGAGGAAGACCAAGGAAAAGATGGATAAATGGTAGCTGAAAGCACACACACATATACACACTGAAACACACACACACACACACACACACACAGGGATTCACCCACCTGAGGGTTTCTGCAACTCCTGTGGACAGATGTTGACGCAGCCGTAGAAGCCGTTCTGGCAGGTACACAGCTGTGAGCACTCGGGTTGGAACTTCTCCCCGTCATTGTACAGGATCCCATCCACCAGACACGGGTTCTTGTCCTTGCCTGGGTCAACAAACACATCTTCTGTAACATCTGCTTGTTTCTATTGTTTGTGTAGTACCGAGTGACATCTCCTATTTACAGCGTACTGACATCTCCCTTTCACATCGTACTGACATCTCCCAATTATGTCGTACTGACGTCTTCATTGATGTCGTACTGACGTCTTCATTTATGTCGTACTGACGTCTTCATTTATGTCGTACTGACGTCTTTATTGATGTCCTACTGACATCTCCCATTTACATCGTACTGACATCTCCCATTTACATCGTACTGACATCTCCCATTTATGTCTTACTGACATCTCCCATTTACATCGTACTGACATCTCCCATTTACATCGTACTGATATCTCCCATTTATGTCTTACTGACATCTTCCATTTAAGTCGTACTGACATCTCCCATTTATGTCTTACTGACATCTCCCATTTATGTCTTACTGACATCTTCAATTTACGTCGTACTGATATCTCCCTTTTATGTCTTACTGACATCTCCCATTTATGTCTTACTGACATCTCCCATTTATGTCTTACTGACATCTTCCATTTACGTCGTACTGACATCCCCCATTTATGTCTTACTGACATCTCCCATTTACATCGTACTGACATCTCCAATTTTTGACTTACTGACATCTCCCATTTATGTCGTACTGACATCTCCCATTTATGTCTTACTGACATCTCCCATTTACGTCGTACTGACGTCTCCTATTTACAGCTTACTGACATCTACCACTTATGTCGTACTGATATATACCTTTCATGTCGTACTGATATCTACCATTTATGTCCTACTGATATCTACCATTTATGTCGTACTGATATCTACCATTTATGTCCTACTGATATCTACCATTTATGTCGTACTGATATCTACCATTCATGTCCTACTGATATCTACCATTTATGTCGTACTGATATCTACCTTTCATGTCGTACTGATATCTACCATTTATGTCGTACTGATATCTACCATTTATGTCGTACTGATATCTACCATTTATGTCGTACTGATATCTACCATTTAAGTCGTACTGATATCTACCATTTATGTCGTACTGATATCTACCATTTATGTCGTACTGATATCTATCATTTATGTCGTGCTGATATCTACCATTTATGTCATACTGATATCTACCATTTATGTCGTACTGACGTCTACCATTTATGTCGTACTGATATCTCCCATTTATGTCGTACTGACATCTACCATTTATGTCGTACTGACATCTACCATTTATGTCGTACTGACATCTCCCATTTATGTCGTACTGACATCTACCATTTATGTCGTACTGACATCTACCATTTATGTCGTACTGATATCTACCATTTATGTCGTACTGACATATACCATTTATGTCGTACTGACATCTACCATTTATGTCGTACTGACATCTACCATTTATGTCGTACTGATATCTACCATTTATTTCGTACTGACATCTACCATTTATGTCGTACTGATATCTACCATTTATGTCGTACTGACATCTACCATTTATGTCGTACTGATATCTACCATTTATGTCGTACTGATATCTACCATTTATGTCGTACTGATATCTAATATTTATGTCTCTACTGATATCTACCATTTATGTCGTACTTATATCTACCATTTATGTCGTACTAACATCTCCCATTTACAGCGTACTGACATCTACCATTTATGTCGTACTGATATCTCCCATTTATGTCGTACTGATATCTACCATTTATGTCATACTGATATCTACCATTTATGTCGTACTGATATCTACCATTTATGTCGTACTGATATCTACCATTTATGTCGTACTGATATCTACCATTTATGTCATACTGATATCTACCATTTATGTCGTACTGATATCTACCATTTATGTCATACTGATATCTACCATTTATGTCGTACTGATATCTACCATTTATGTCGTACTGATATCTACCATTTATGTCGTACTGATATCTACCATTTATGTCGTACTGATATCTACCATTTATGTCGTACTGATATCTACCATTTATGTCGTACTGATATCCACCATTTATGTCGTACTGATATCTAAGCTTGTCGCCTAACGACTTCTTGTTTAAATCTTGTTTAAGTACCTCACATAATGTAGCCTCCAACTTACACCACACCACCTTATCGCTCGCAGGTGGAAACCTGATCTTGGAACGCACTTCCTCAGAAATCATCAAATTTGCTCCTCCGCATTCGACGTCATGGGCCTCTCCGGGCGAGTGGGGTTTACCCTGCCCGTCGTTCCCTGACGACTCAGAAACTACCACAGAAGTGGTAGTTTTGCGACGGCGTTTACTGCGTGGAGCACCCTCGCATTTCATTCTTCCGGCATGCGTTCTCAGACCATGCAACACCGTGAAGCTCTTTCCACATGTACAGAGCCAGCCCGGACGTTGGGCGAGTATCTGAGTCCGGGGGCTAGCATAGTCGTCACCGAGAGTATCAATTTGATTGGGCCCTTCATTCTCCCCCCCCCCCTCCTTTCGGAGGGCCCTGGGGCATATTTCTATGTGGTTGTACGAAATCGGAGGTATTATACTGTGTTATGGGTGATCAACCCGGTCCACAGTCGACATCTGTCTCCAGATGTCAGTTTATCCCCCCGGCGATACCGGGGGGGGGGTAGTCTTTCCATAGGTTTCACAAGGTCTTTCCCGAGAGTCAAGTCTTGTGGGCTAGCCACGTACAATAGGAATAATCACACAGGGAGCAAGTACAGCAGGGATCTACCAGTCATCAGTAGAAATTATCCTCGTCGACAAGTGTTTCGGCCCACGATTCCTATACACTTTCGGAGGTGGGCCCACCTGAGTTCATGAAGCTCAGGGCTGGTTCCCTGCTGCACAAAATTACCGGATGGTGTTTTCTTTCGGATAGAGACAAGACGACTTGGTATGAACCAAGGTGGGAAATCTTGATATGTTTAATTTCTACCAGTCCAGGAACGGGTGTAAGGTAACCACTATTCGTACTCGGCCCGACCTCAACTATTCGGCCGAATACCGAATAGTTATTAAGTCCACTATTCAGCACCGAAGCGAATACGAAGCGCATATTCCGTACAGCCCTAGTATGTATGTATGTATGTATGTATGTATGTATGTATGTATGTATGTATGTATGTATGTATGTATGTATGTATGTATGTATGTATGTATGTATGTATGTATGTATGTATGTATGTATGTATGTATGTATGTATGTATGTATGTATGTATGTATGTATGTATGTATGTATGTATGTATGTATGTATGTATGTATGTATGTATGTATGTATGTATGTATGTATGTATGTATGTATGTATGTATGTATGTATGTATGTATGTATGTATGTATGTATGTATGTAGTGTATGTATGTATGTATGTATGTATGTATGTATGTATGTATGTATGTATGTATGTATGTATGTATGTATGTATGTATGTATGTATGTATGTATGTATGTATGTATGTATGTATGTATGTATGTATGTATGTATGTATGTATGTATGTATGTATGTATGTATGTATGTATGTATGTATGTATGTATGTATGTGTCACAACCCTATTAAGTACAGTCAGTGTACCAGTAAGGTGTGCGCCCAGGGTTGACACAGAGGTCAGGGCCGTCACTGGTCAAGTCCGTTCTGTGATCGCACGGCGAAACCAGCGCTCAGGATAAAGCAAGAAAGCCTGAACTGTGTTGTAGTAACACGATGACTGCTTTTGGGACTGAGCTGGTGAACGGGGTTAAGAGACACGAGGTAGAAGGAAGAAGAAACATTCGGTGTGCGTCAGTCAGGAAGAGAGGACGTTTTAGTGACTGGATAGTTTATGTTATAGTATTAAAGTTAGGATATATTTCTGTTAGTGACTGGATAGTTTATGTACAGTTTCGTGTTAGGATAGGATAGTTCTTGTGTAGAGTATTTATGTATATGTGCTGTGAGAGAGTGGCTAACCTGGACACTCTGGCCCTGCACTAAGACAGAGACTGTGACAGTTTGATTGGGTCAGCGTTCTTCCTAATATAAAATATATTTTTAAAAAAAGAAAAAAAAAAAATAAAAAAAAAAAAAAAAAAAAAAGCGAGAACTAGATCACACTTTCACCAAAAACAAAACTCTTTTCTCCAGTTCCCCTATTTTAAATCTGTCTAATAGCATATTACCATTTGTTCTCAGATATCATACCAGTGGTACGGCAGTTGCGGTATGTCTGAGGCAGTGTGATGGCGAGATGTTACACCCGAACTGCTGTGTGAGCAGTAAGTTGTCTCCAGCCCAGGTACACTATTTTGCGGCAGAACAACAGTGTCTTGCGGTGATTGTCTGTGTGACAAGACTCAACCGTTACGTCCTGGGCAGACTTTTTGTCCTACGGACACACAAACAGCCACTGCTCGTGTTTAGTCGGATGCCCCGAAAGACAATCGTAAAACCAGATGGGCACTACCACTGCGAGAATGCCAAGTCACAACTACACACATCAAGGGCAACAGCAACAACCTGGCTGACTTATTAAGCCGGCTGTAAAACTATTGATTGCCTAGTGGTATCCTGAAACTGACAGTCTGATACCTTCAGAAATTTAAAGACGGTGTGAAACATTGTCTTCATATATTCATGCCTTCTTGAATGACTAGAAACTGTCTCATAACGGAATTCTACACCAAGTTTCATAGATCCAGTTGTCAAGTAGCAGTGTATACAAGTACTGTTCTAGCCTAAAACCAGTGAACTGAACAATCGTAAAAGATTACCCAACAGGAAGATAGAGGTGATGATCATTCTAAGGACTTCAGCAGAATGGAAAATGTGATGTATGAAAGAAGTGTGTGATTGGAATAAAAGGGAATGAATGTATAGAATAGAAGTCTATGTTGTGATTGTCATATTATAAGTTAATCTTATTATGTTCATCTTTAATATAATATATGTTGTATGGATTATATATGTTTTATATGTTCTGTATGTACTAAATGTAATTGTTAAAGTATATGTTAGACAATAGTGCATTATGAGTAGATAGTTTTGTAAACTAGTAGACTTTAAAATAACTGACAATTTAGTTTAGCAGTGACAACGAAATTTTCTTTAAATTTTCATTATTGTTTTTTTCTTGTAATTGTTTTTTATTGGTTTCTAAAATTGATGATTGACAATTTAAATGAAAGTTAGATTGTACTTTTACAAGGGCACTCACATGGAGAGTTAATGATGGTGTAACTAGTATCGCATATATGGAGACTACATTTGAGGAGTAGCACTATCCTTGGAGGATAGGAGTGTGTCCAACTGGCCACAGATTTGTTTGCTGTCTAGTTTGCACTGTGGGTCATATGGGGTGATTTGTGTCTTGGCAGGTACTGCGGATTCGCGGACACATTATACGACTGTAGGTCGGGGAGTCAGGTCATGACTCCTTTTCATAACCATGGACAAGCCTTGTGGAGATAGTCCATGACGCCCACTGTTATAAATCACGGTGTCGTTGGTTAAACGGCTTGGGAGTGTATACAGTGGCGTCTTACTTGCACAGTAAGTGAAGTAAGGTGTAATTGGGTCCCGGACGATTTGAGTGTCCACCCAAATTATTATTTATATCATTACCCATATGATTTGAAGGTGTAATGAGTAGTGACGTGTCTGTGTCAAGGGCTGATACCATTTCTACCCATTAGGGAGGAGCTTACCCATTGAATGTATATACCCATTAAATATGTGCCAGATAGTGTGTCCTTAGGTGATTGACCCAAAAGTACATGACGTATTTTTTTTTAAGTAACTAAATGTTGACGATAAAATTTAAAAAGATGACTGTACGTGATGGCAGGCCATGCATTGCTGATACTTGACTTTGTCAGGAAGTATCAGTTCAGAGGAAGGGTGAATGTCACAACCCTATTAAGTACAGTCAGTGTACCAGTAAGGTGTGCGCCCAGGGTTGACACAGAGGTCAGGGCCGTCACTGGTCAAGTCCGTTCTGTGATCGCACGGCGAAACCAGCGCTCAGGATAAAGCAAGAAAGCCTGAACTGTGTTGTAGTAACACGATGACTGCTTTTGGGACTGAGCTGGTGAACGGGGTTAAGAGACACGAGGTAGAAGGAAGAAGAAACATTCGGTGTGCGTCAGTCAGGAAGAGAGGACGTTTAGTGACTGGATAGTTTATGTTATAGTATTAAAGTTAGGATATATTTCTGTTAGTGACTGGATAGTTTATGTACAGTTTCGTGTTAGGATAGGATAGTTCTTGTGTAGAGTATTTATGTATATGTGCTGTGAGAGAGTGGCTAACCTGGACACTCTGGCCCTGCACTAAGACAGAGACTGTGACAGTTTGATTGGGTCAGCGTGGCGATAGAAGAGAGCGTATCCTGCCGGATTGTGGTTTGTACACCAGAGTATTGCCTGTCGCACGTACTGGGGACGGGGCGATTGTAAAGCCCGTCCAGCCAGAGGGTCCAGGCAATAGGTGGCCACACGGCGGGAAGTCAACTGTCTATGTATTACCTGTACTTCCAATAAAGATTGTCGTGTGTGCTCTGTGTGCGTTCGGGTTCAGTGTGTGTTGTAGGTTAGTCTGTCTGTCATAGGCCTAGTTAGCGAGCCACGGACCGGCAAGGTCATACCAGAGGTTTGTGACAGTATGTATGTATGTATGTATGTATGTATGTATGTATGTATGTATGTATGTATGTATGTATGTATGTATGTATGTATGTATGTATGTATGTATGTATGTATGTATGTATGTATGTATGTATGTATGTATGTATGTATGTATGTATGTGTTTGTGTGTGCGGGTTTGTATGTATGTGGATGTATGTATTTACTGGGTGCCTATGCGTGTGTAAGTGAGTGAATGGGTTTGCGTGTGTATGTGGGTGTGTGTGTTCTGTGTATCTATCTATCTATCTATCTGTCTGTCTATCAATCGAAATCTGACCCAAATCTCGCTGGAGCAAACACTTGTTAAGTAAACAGCCATAAAAGTATACCAACTAGCAAACATTAAAAACTTTCTGGATGAAGAAAGGAAATTATTCTATACTTCTCATATTCACACCCACATAGACTATTGCTCCCCAATACGGCATGGATGTGCAAATTCAATTATCAAACAACTGACAGCACTCCAAGCGTGGGCTGTGCGTTTAATAACGTAGGTTTTTCAGGTTTATCTACATCATGGCACACGGATGTAACCCATAAGTGCCCGGTTCTTCTTCTAACTCTAGTCTGAGTCCGAAGAAGCTCAGCACAGTACACAAGCTCTGTAGACCCTGAAATACTTTAGGTAGATTTTAAATTTCAAATTTTGCCCCGGCGGCCCCGTCAGGCTACTCTTCAATTTTCAACTGCCAAGGGATTTTTTACGTGCGCAACAATACACACGGGCATCTGATCTCACTACCCAGAAACCAGGGGGAATTACTAGAAGTCCAAGTCCACGTGAAAAAATCCTATCCCCTACTGGGGATTGAACCTGAAACCTCTAGCACTCGAGGCAGACACCATGCCTCGAGATCACGCAGCTCCCTAAACTATTGTATACAATGAGTGAAGTGGAAGGGCAGAATGTAAGACCGGCCTGCGTGCCCAATTCCTAACCCTTTTTTGCAATCTATCTATCTATCTATCTATCTATCTATCTATCTATCTATCTATCTATCTATCTATCTATCTATCTATCTATCTATCTATCTATCTATCTATCTATCTATCTATCTATCTATCTATCTGTCTGTCTGTCTGTCTGTCTATCTGTCTGTCTATCTGTCTGTCTGTCTGTCTGTCTGTCTGTCTGTCTGTCTGTCTGTCTGTCTGTCTGTCTGTCTGTCTGTCTGTCTGTCTGTCTGTCTGTCTGTCTGTCTGTCTGTCTAATCTCTGCGACTGTAAGAACAAGTAAGAACACTGTATACTTCAGAACTGAAAACAAACCTCTGCAGGTGCCCAGCAAATTGCCGTCCTTTCTGTCACAGAAGAGTCCCTTGGCGGTGTCGCAGAGGTCCCTAGCGGAGCACAGGTCGCCTCTCTGTCGAGCACACATGTAGCAGCAGCTGCAACCGTCCTTGATGACCGCCACTCCGTCTTGGCAGAAGAGATCCTCGGGACACTGGCACGGGTAGTGGCACAGCTGGGTCTCCTGGGTCAGACAGACAAGACCCACAAGGTCAGACAAGACCAACAAGGTCAGACAAGACCAACAATATCAGACAGACAATACCCACAAGGTCATACAGACAAAACCCACAAGGTCAGACAGACAAGACCAACAAGGCCAGACAAGACTAACAATTTCAGGCAGACAATACCCGCAAGGTCAGACAGACAAGACCAACAAGGTCAGGCAAGATCCACAAAATCTGACATACAAGACCCACAACGTCAGACAGACAAGACCCACAACGTCAGACAGGCAAGACCCACAACGTCAGACAGGCAAGGCCCACAACGTCAGACAGGCAAGGCCCACAACGTCAGACAGGCAAGGCCCACAACGTCAGACAGGCAAGGCCCACAACGTCAGACAGGCAAGGCCCACAACGTCAGACAGGCAAGGCCCACAACGTCAGACAGGCAAGACCCACAACGTCAGACAGGCAAGGCCCACAACGTCAGACAAGACTAACAAAGTCAGACAGACAAGACCCAAGACCCACAACGTCAAGCAGACAAGACCCACAACGTCAAGCAGACAAGACCCACAACGTCAAGCAGACAAGACCCACAACGTCAGACAGACAAGACCCACAAGGTCAGACAGGCAAGACCCACAACGTCAGACAGGCAAGACCCACAAGGTCAGACAGACAAGACCCACAACGTCAGACAGGCAAGACCCACAAGGTCAGACAGACAAGACCCACAACGTCAAGCAGACAAGACCCACAACGTCAGACAGACAAGACCCACAACGTCAGACAGACAAGACCCACAACGTCAGACAGACAAGACCCACAACGTCAAGCAGACAAGACCCACAACGTCAGACAGGCAAGACCCTCAACGTCAAGACAGACAAGACCCACAACGTCAGACAGACAAGACCCACAACGTCAACAGGCAAGACCCACAACGTCAGACAGGCAAGACCCACAACGTCAAGCAGACAAGACCCACAAGGTCAAACAGACAAGACCCACATGGTCAGACATTATGGATACTATGGCTTTGTGACTATTGGGGCTTTGTGTGGGGCTTTGTGACTATTGGGGCTTTGTGACTATTGGGGCTTGGTGACTTTTGGGGCTTTGTGACTATTGGGGCTTTGTGACTATTGGGGCTTTGTGACTATTGGGGCTTTGTGACTATTGGGGCTTTGTGACTATTGGGGCTTTGTGTGGGGCTTTGTGACTATTGGGGCTTTGTGACTATTGGGGCTTTGTGACTATTGGGGCTTTGTGACTATTGGGGCTTTGTGACTATTGGGGCTTTGTGACTATTGGGGCTTTGTGACTATTGGGGCTTTGTGTGGGGCTTTGTGACTATTGGGGCTTTGTGACTATTGGGGCTTTGTGACTATTGGGGCTTTGTGGGGCTATTGTGACTATTGGGGCTTTGTGACTATTGGGGCTTTGTGACTATTGGGGCTTTGTGGCTATTGGGGCTTTGTGACTATTGGGGCTTTGTGACTATTGGGGCTTTGTGACTATTGGGGCTTTGTGACTATTGGGGCTTTGTGACTATTGGGGCTTTGTGACTATTGGGGCTTTGGACTATTGGGGCTTTGGACTACGGGGGCTTTTGCGGAATGGGGCTTTGTGACTATTGGGGCTTTGTGACTATTGGGGCTTTGTGACTATGGGGCTTTGTGGTTCCTGTATAATTGTGGTTACTGGCGCACGGTGGCTATTGCGGCACGGTGGCTTTTGCGGAATGGTGGCTATTGCGTCACGGTGGCTATTGCGACATGGTGGCTATTGCGGCAGGGTGGCTATTGAGGCACGGTGGCTATTGCGGCACGGTGACTATTGCGGCACGGTGGCTATTGCGGCACGGTGGCTATTGCGGCACGGTGGCTATTGCGGCACGGTGGCTGTTGCAGCACGGTGGCTATTAGGGCGTTATGGTTACTGCAGCGCTCTGAAAATGAAGACATATTGATTCCTTCATGGTCATTCGTTGTCTATTTAATAGACAATCATTGATTCCTCAATCATTTGTTGATTTATTCAAAGAGAAGCATTGATTTGTTCATGAACAATCACTAAATATTTCATTGGCAATAATTGATTCATTCATGCTCAATCATTGATTCATTCACACTGAATCACTGATTCATTTACGAGCAATCTTTGATTAATTTATAGGCAATCATTTTTTTAACTGGGCTCAATCATTTATTCACTCATGGACAATCACTTAATAATTCATGGAAAATCATTGAGTCATTCATGGACAATCATTGATTCATTCATGGGCTATCATTGGTTCATTTGTGCTCAATAAATAATTTATTCATAGGTAATCATTGATTCATTTATGGGCAATCATTGATTCATTCATGAGCAATCATTTATTTATTTATGAGCAATCATTGATTCATTTATGGGCAATCACTGATCCATGGGTCGACTGTTTGTTGATTCATTAACTGATTTATCTTTCTGCTCATCAAATGAATTAAACATACAACAGAGACAGACGTACAGTGCTGCACGCTTGACAGCATGCACTGGAACAGAATGGGTGGTGTCGAACCAGCCAGGCAATCATGTAGCGCGCCTGTTGGTCAACCTGGGTGTTAGAACAGAATGGGTGGTGTTGAACAAGCAAAGGCAATCATGTAGCGCGCCTTTTGGTCAGCCTGGGTGTTAGAACAGAATGGGTGGTGTTGAACCAGCAAGGCAATCATGTAGCGCGCCTGTTGGTCAGCCTGGGTGTTAGAACAGAATGGGTGGTGTTGAACCAGCCAGGCAATCATGTAGCGCGACTTTTGGTCAGCCTGGGTGTTAGAACAGAATGGGTGGTGTCGAACCAGCCAGGCAATCATGTAGCGCGCCTTTTGGTCAGCCTGGGTGTTAGAACAGAATGGGTGGTGTTGAACCAGCCAGGCAATCATGTAGCGCGCCTTTTAATCAGCCTGGCTGTTACAACAGAATGGGTGGTGTCGAACCAGCAAGGCAATCATGTACCGCACCTGTTGGTCAGCCTGGGTGTTAGAACAGAATGGGTGGTGTTGAACCAGCAATACAATCATGTACCGCGCCTGTTGGTCAGCCTGGGTGTTAGAACAGAATGTTGGTCAATCATGTAGCTGGGTGTTAGAACAGAATGGGTGGTGTCGAACCAGCCAGGCAATCATGTAGCGCGCCTTTTGGTCAGCCTGGCTGTTAGAACAGAATGGGTGGTGTCGAACCAGCCAGGCAATCATGTAGCGCGCCTTTTGGTCAGCCTGGGTGTTAGAACAGAATGGGTGGTGTCGAACCAGCCAGGCAATCATGTAGCGCGCCTTTTGGTCAGCCTGGGTGTTAGAACAGAATGGGTGGTGTTGAACCAGCCAGGCAATCATGTAGCGCGCCTTTTGGTCAGCCTGGTTAGAACAGAATGGGTGGTGTTGAGAACAGAATGGGTGGTGTTTAGAACCAGCAATACAATCATGTACCGCGCCTTTTGGTCAACCTGGGTGTTAGAACAGAATGGGTGGTGTTGAACCAGCAATACAATCATGTACCGCACCTGTTGGTCAGCCTGGGTGTTAGAACAGAATGGGTGGTGTTGAACCAGCAATACAATCATGTACCGCGCCTTTTGGTCAACCTGGGTGTTAGAACAGAATGGGTGGTGTCGAACCAGCAATACAATCATGTACCGCACCTGTTGGTCAGCCTGTTGGAACAGGTCAGTGTTTTAGATTAACGCCCTCTGGTGGCCTTTTCTAAATCAGAATCACAATAAATTACAGATTTTTTTTGTTGGGGGTGGTTATTTGTTGCGAGCCTGCGGGTGTCATCGTGAGAGTGGATGCCTCAGCCAAGCTGACGGACACAGGTGTGGTTGTTTGTTGACCTGGTGTAGGCGACAGACACGTTTCTTGATCTCTGAGCGCCTTCACTCAATCAACATCCTGTGCCATCGCGTTTAGCGTGGTTTATCACAGTTTCTACTGTGCCAGCAGACTTGAGTGAGGACTCTTCTTGCCCTTGTTGGAATATTCGGCCACCTCAACCTGCCATTTATCGGTTCGTTGAAGTTTTATCGTTAGCGATTTACATCTATGGTTGTTACGGTCGGTTTAAGTATGCCTCGTGTCATAACTTGCCCAGTATGTAGCTTGTCTAAGTCTAGTTAATCCACGCAGTTTGTCTTTTTTTTTTAAAACGTTTGCCTCTGTTTCCTCTTTTAAATGCTGGTATATTTTGTGTTTGTGCCCAGTGCCAGATTTCTGCAGTCACTGTTGTCTGTTTGGCTTGTTTCTTTCTACATCGTATACAATAGTACATGTTCTTTTTCTTTCTTTCTTTCTTTCTTTCTTTCTTTCTTTCTTTCTTTCTTTCTTTCTTTCTTTCTTTCTTTCTTTCTTTCTTTCTTTCTTTCTTTCTTTCTTTCTTTCTTTCTTTCTTTCTTTCTTTCTTTCTTTCTTTCTTTCTTTCTTTCTTTCTTTCTTTCTTTCTTTCTTTCTTTCTTTCTTTCTTTCTTTCTTTCTTTCTTTCTTTCTTTTGTCTTTTGTCTTTCTTCTTCAGTCCCTTCTCTCCTGCCTCCTTTCTATTGTGTAAGCTTTACAAATGTCATGTGTCTGTTCCTGATAGCTTTGATGATGACCTTACAGTGTGCACGTTGCAAACTTCTTTGTTTGTGCATCCTTTCAAATTGTTACATTCCTCTAAACTTTCACCTCCACTACCTTCAGTCTGCACACTGTGTGCTGTCTCACACTCACACACGTTGCTATATTACACACACACGCGCGCGCAAGCACACACATGCACAACATACGTACTGTCTCAACTAAATGCTCATTTGTTACATAAGACTTTAACATCACAGCTGGCGCCACATTTGATATCTCTGTGTCCATGTTTTCCTCTGACAAAGCTTACTGTTGCCATGAATAATTTTGGTTCTCATCTCTGCCAGACATTCTAGCTGCCATGTTTTGACTTTGCCAGGAAAGCCAAGAGCAGTGCTTTCTTTCTGATGTGCCTGCCTCATACGTTTGTTTGTATGTATTGTTTCATCTCGGATAGAATCGGTTGTCTGTTTCTGGACAGTTTCATGATAGACTAGCTTGTCTGTTTCTGGACAGTTTCATGATAGACTAGCTTGTCTGTTTCTGGACAGTTTCATGATAGACTAGCTTGTCTGTTTCTAGACAGTTTCAAGATAGACTAGCTTGTCTGTTTCTGGACAGTTTCATGATAGACTAGCTTGTCTGTTTCTGGACAGTTTCATGATAGACTAGCTTGTCTGTTTCTGGACAGTTTCATGATAGACTAGCTTGTCTGTTTCTGGACAGTTTCATGACAGACTAGCTTGTCTGTTTCTGGACAGTTTCAAGATAGACTAGCTTGTCTGTTTCTGGACAGTTTCAAGATAGACTAGCTTGTCTGTTTCTGGACAGTTTCATGATAGACTAGCTTGTCTGTTTCTGGACAGTTTCATGATAGACTAGCTTGTCTGTTTCTGGACAGTTTCATGATAGACTAGCTTGTCTGTTTCTGGACAGTTTCATGATAGACTAGCTTGTCTGTTTCTGGACAGTTTCATGATAGACTAGCTTGTCTGTTTCTGGACAGTTTCATGATAGACTAGCTTGTCTGTTTCTGGACAGTTTCATGATAGACTAGCTTGTCTGTTTCTGGACAGTTTCATGATAGACTAGCTTGTCTGTTTCTGGACAGTTTCATGATAGACTAGCTTGTCTGTTTCTGGACAGTTTCATGATAGACTAGCTTGTCTGTTTCTGGACAGTTTCATGATAGACTAGCTTGTCTGTTTCTGGACAGTTTCAAGATAGACTAGCTTGTCTGTTTCTGGACAGTTTCATGATAGACTAGCTTGTCTGTTTCTGGACAGTTTCATGATAGACTAGCTTGTCTGTTTCTGGACAGTTTCATGATAGACTAGCTTGTCTGTTTCTGGACAGTTTAATGATAGACTAGCTTGTCTGTTTCTGGACAGTTTAATGATAGACTAGCTTGTCTGTTTCTGGACAGTTTAATGATAGACTAGCTTGTCTGTTTCTGGACAGTTTAATGATAGACTAGCTTGTCTGTTTCTGGACAGTTTCATGATAGACTAGCTTGTCTGTTTCTGGACAGTTTCATGATAGACTAGCTTGTCTGTTTCTGGACAGTTTCATGATAGACTAGCTTGTCTGTTTCTGGACAGTTTAATGATAGACTAGCTTGTTTGTTTCTGGACAGTTTAATGATAGACTAGCTTGTCTGTTTCTGGACAGTTTAATGATATGTACTAGGGCGGAGAAGGCCCTAAGTACCAAAAACAAAAAAAAAGAAAGTAAAATAGTTCGTTTAGGTGGGGACTAGAAACACGAATATTCTAGTCCAGGCATGAGATCTTCTGTGTAAAGTCTAATATAGCCCAGGTAACAAATAAACAAACTACGCACACTAGCCACAAGTACTAATCCGAATCAAAAATCTGGGACTATCATTATCACATTCACATCTATTTATTTCACTGAACATCATCTAAGGTCTTCACAAATAATAATGCATTACAATTCACAACGTGCTCGAAAATACCCTACAACAGATGGAAACTATCTTTGCCTACACATCTCAACCCACGTTGCGTAAAACCATTGAACGCAAAGGACAAATCAGAACTACATGTTTCTCGTCCAAAAACCAGAGACCAAAGAGAGCGAAAATGGTCACTCCCGTCTGTTTTATCACTTCCTGACCCCCAAGTTGGCCAGGTTTTTAGCTCGCTCAAATAAGCCTAATTTAATTTATATAACAGTCGTCCAGCGCCTGTTTCAGATAGACTAGCTTGTCTGTTTCTGGACAGTTTAATGATAGACTAGCTTGTCTGTTTCTGGACAGTTTAATAATAGACTAGCTTGTTTGTTTCTGGACAGTTTAATGATAGACTAGCTTGTTTGTTTCTGGACAGTTTAATGATAGACTAGCTTGTTTGTTTCTGGACAGTTTAATGATAGACTAGCTTGTTTGTTTCTGGACCAGTTTAATGATAGACTAGCTTGTCTGTTTCTGGACAGTTTAATGATAGACTAGTTTGTCTGTTTCTGGACAGTTTAATGATAGACTAGCTTGTCACTGTGTTTCATAACAATATACGCAAGACGTTGTTGTCTAGTCAAGGTTGTCTATCCAACAGATGATATCCACTACATGGTGATATCCACTACATGTTGATATCCAACAGATGATATCCACTACATGGTGATATCCATTACATGTTGATATTCAACAGATGATAGCCACTACATGGTGATATCCATTAGACAGTGATATCCAACAGATGATATCCACTACATGGTGATATTCATTACATGTTGATACCCAACAGATGATATACACTACATGGTGATATCCATTACATGTTGATACCTAAAAGATGATATCCACTACATGTTGATATCCATTACATGGTGATATCCTACAGATGATATCCACTACATGGTGATATCCACTACACTGTGATATCTAACAGATGATATCCACTACATGGTGATATTCAACAGATGATATCCACTACATGGTGATATCTAACAGATGATATCCACTACATGGTGATATCCACTACACTGTGATATCTAACAGATGATATCCACTACATGGTGATATCTAACAGATGATATCCACTACATGGTGATATCTAACAGATGATATCCACTACATGGTGATATCTAACAGATGAAATCCACTTCATGGTGATATCCAACAGATGATATCCACTACATGCTGCCATTCACTACATGTTGATATCCATTACATAATGATATCCAACAGATGATATTCATTACATGGTGACAAGAAGAAAAAACAGTACACATTTAATGTCCAGTTGTCTTTAATACGATGAATGGAGCTGTTTGGATGAATTTTTCCTATATGTATACGTAAAGTTTAGTTAATTTAACCATCAAATCACTTGACACAGAAAGTTTAGCTCCTCTGGTTTTTGTTTTTGTATGCGTACAGTGAGATTGCACTGCAGCCTTGGCAATAACACTGTTTTCTAAATACACCTACATCCAGAACTCTTCTTGGCTTCCTTTCCTGTGTTTCTGTTTTAACCTGATCTCTTCGCTGATCTCATGCAGATCCTGGCATACGCTCGCGGCACCCCTGGCATACGCTTGCGGCACCCCTGGCATACGCTCGCGGCACCCCTGGCATACGCTCGCGGCACCCCTGGGTTCCGCGGCACTTAGTTTGTGAACCGCTGTACTACATGTTGACATCCACTATGTCATGTAGTGGATGTCAACATACAGTGGATGTCTGCATGTAGTGGATGTCTGCATGTAGTGGATGTCAACATACAGTGGATGTCAACATGTAGTGGATGTCAACATGTAGTGGATGTCTGCATGTAGTGGATGTCAACATGTAGTGGATGTCAACATGTAGTGGATGTCTGCATGTAGTGGATGTCTGCATGTAGTGGATGTCAGCATGTAGTGGATGTCAACATGTAGTGGATGTCAGCATATAGTGGATGTCTGCATGTAGTGGATGTCTGCATGTAGTGGATGTCTGCATGTAGTGGATGTCTGCATGTAGTGGATGTCAACATGTATTGGATGTCAGCATGTAGTGGATGTCAACATGTAGTGGATGTTAGCATGTAGTGGATGTCAGCATATAGTGGATGTCAGCATATAGTGGATGTCAACATGTAGTGGATGTCAACATGTAGTGGATGTCAACATGTAGTGGATGTCAACATGTAGTGGATGTCAACATGTAGTGGATGTAAACATGTAGTGGATGTCAACATGTAGTGGATGTCTGCATGTAGTGGATGTCTGCATGTAGTGGATGTCAACATGTAGTAGATGTCAACATGTAGTGGATGTCAGCATGCAGTGGATGTCAACATGTAGTGGATGTTAGCATGTAGTGGATGTCAACATGTAGTGGATGTCAACATGTAGTGGATGTCAGCATGTAGTGGATGTCAACATGTAGTAGATGTTAGCATGTAGTAGATGTTAGCATGTAGTGGATGTCAACATGTAGTGGATGTCAGCATATAGTGGATGTCAACATGTAGTGGATGTCAACATGTAGTGGATGTCTGCATGTAGTAGATGTCTGCATGTAGTGGATGTCAGCATGTAGTGGATGTCTGCATGTAGTGGATGTCAGCATGCAGTGGATGTCAACATGTAGTGGATGTCAGCATGTAGTGGATGTCAGCATGTAGTGGATGTCAGCATGTAGTGGATGTCAGCATGTAGTGGATGTCAACATGTAGTGGATGTCAGCATGTAGTGGATGTCAGCATGTAGTAGATGTCAGCATGTAGTGGATGTCAGCATGTAGTGGATGTCAGCATGTAGTGGATGTCAGCATGTAGTGGATGTCAAAATGTAGTGGATGTCAACATGTAGTTGATGTCAGCATGTAGTGGATGTCAACATGTAGTGGATGTCAACATGTAGTGGATGTCAGCATGTAGTGGATGTCAGCATGTAGTGGATGTCAGCATGTAGTGGATGTCAGCATGTAGTGGATGTCAACATGTAGTGGATGTCAGCATGTAGTGGATGTCAGCATGTAGTGGATGTCAGCATGTAGTGGATGTCAACATGTAGTGGATGTCAGCATGTAGTGAATGTCAGCATGTAGTGGATGTCAGCATGTAGTGGATGTCAGCATGTAGTGGATGTCAACATGTAGTGGATGTCAACATGTAGTGGATGTCTGCATGTAGTGGATGTCTGCATGTAGTGGATGTCAGCATGTAGTGGATGTCAACATGTAATGGATGTCAGCATGTAGTGGATGTCAACATATAGTGGATGTCTGCATGTAGTGGATGTCTGCATGTAGTGGATGTCTGCATGTAGTGGATGTCTGCATGTAGTGGATGTCTGCATGTAGTGGATGTCACCATGTAGTGGATGTCAACATGTAGTGGATGTCAACATGTAGTGGATGTCTGCATGTAGTGGATGTCTGCATGTAGTGGATGTCAACATGTAGTGGATGTCAACATGTAGTGGATGTCAACATGTAGTGGATGTCAGCATGTAGTGAATGTCTGCATGTAGTGGATGTCTGCATGTAGTGGATGTCTGCATGTAGTGGATGTCAACATGTAGTGGATGTCAGCATGTAGTGGATGTCAACATGTAGTGGATGTTAGCATGTAGTGGATGTCAGCATATAGTGGATGTCAACATATAGTGGATGTCAACATGTAGTGGATGTCAACATGTAGTGGGTGTCAACATGTAGTGGATGTCAACATGTAGTGGATGTCAACATGTAGTGGATGTCAACATGTAGTGGATGTCTGCATGTAGTGGATGTCAACATGTAGTGGATGTCAACATGTAGTGGATGTCAACATGTAGTGGATGTCAGCATGTAGTGGATGTCTGCATGTAGTGAATGTCTGCATGTAGTGGATGTCTGCATGTAGTGGATGTCTGCATGTAGTGGATGTCAACATGTAGTGGATGTCAGCATGTAGTGGATGTCAACATGTAGTGGATGTTAGCATGTAGTGGATGTCAGCATATAGTGGATGTCAACATATAGTGGATGTCAACATGTAGTGGATGTCAACATGTAGTGGGTGTCAACATGTAGTGGATGTCAACATGTAGTGGATGTCAACATGTAGTGGATGTCAACATGTAGTGGATGTCAGCATGTAGTGGATGTCAGCATGTAGTGGATGTCAACATGTAGTGGATGTCTGCATGTAGTGGATGTCTGCATATAGTGGATGTCAGCATGTAGTGGATGTCAACATGTAGTGGATGTCAACATGTAGTGGATGTCAATATGTAGTGGATGTCTGCATGTAGTGGATGTCAGCATGTAGTGGATGTCTGCATGTAGTGGATGTCAACATGTAGTGGATGTCAGCATGTAGTGGATGTCAACATGTAGTGGATGAAGCATATAGTGGATGTCAGCATGTAGTGGATGTCAACATGTAGTGGATGTCAACATGTAGTGGATGTCTGCATGTAGTGGATGTCTGCATGTAGTGGATGTCTGCATGTAGTGGATGTCAGCATGTAGTGGATGTCAACATGTAGTGGATGTCAACATGTATTGGATGTCAGCATGTAGTGTATGTCAGCATGTAGTGTATGTCAGCATGTAGTGGATGTCAGCATGTAGTGGATGTCAACATGTAGTGGATGTCAGCATGTAGTGGATGTCAACATGTAGTGGATGTCAGCATGTAGTGGATGTCAGCATGTAGTGGATGTCAGCATGTAGTGGATGTCAGCATGTAGTGGATGTCAACATGTAGTGGATGTCAGCATGTAGTGGATGTCAGCATGTAGTGGATGTCAACATGTAGTGGATGTCAGCATGTAGTGGATGTCAACATGTAGTGGATGTCTGCATGTAGTGGATGTCAGCATGTAGTGGATGTCAACATGTAGTGGATGTCAACATGTAGTGGATGTCTGCATGTAGTGGATGTCTGCATGTAGTGGATGTCTGCATGTAGTGGATGTCAACATGTAGTGGATGTCAGCATGTAGTGGATGTCAACATGTAGTGGATGTTAGCATGTAGTGGATGTCAACTTGTAGTGGATGTCAGCATATAGTGGATGTCAGCATGTAGTGGATGTCAAAATGTAGTGGATGTCAACATGTAGTGGATGTCTGCATGTAGTGGATGTCTGCATGTAGTGGATGTCAGCATGTAGTGGATGTCTGCATGTAGTGGATGTCAACATGTAGTGGATGTCAGCATGTAGTGGATGTCAACATGTAGTGGATGTCAGCATATAGTGGATGTCAACATGTAGTGGATGTCAGCATGTAGTGGATGTCTGCATGTAGTGGATGTCAACATGTAGTGGATGTCAACATGTAGTGAATGTCAACA